CTGAGAGCAAGAACTCGTCCCCAGCCAACGGCTTCACGAGCGTCGAGTCCGGACAGTTACTCTGCGACGAACTGGACAACTTAGCACTCGATGACGTCACGAAACACGCTCACAGCAAGGAGTCCATAGCTAACAGCGACGACCTCGTCCCCATACATTCCGCCTCCACCAGCATCGAAGACCTCAAATCCGATAAAAAACATTCCAAAGAACACTCCACAAGCAAAGAGTCCATCGCTCTTTCCGATGATCTCGTTCCTATACACTCTTCGTCTGTCAGTACCGAGAATTTAAACAAAAAGTGCGACCGGCCGATCAACCAGTTGGAGGATTTGTTGAGTCCGGCTGAGGAGTCGATATCTATGTTTACTCAGTTGAACGACAAGTTGACCGAGATGTCGGCTGCGGAGGGTGATAGTGGGGTGGATACTGCTCATAATGTATCGGATGACGAGACTTGTAGGCCAGAGGTACATTATTTTCTACCAAGTTATTATTATTATTACTTTTCTACTTATATTGGATTTTATAAAAAAATAACATTTTTTTTTCAGAAATGGACAATAGTAGATCTCCAGTTTGGCATACCACTGTTTGACGAAACGCTATGCGAGAAGATTTGCAAGTGTATAGTAGAACGAATAGCGAAACCTGATCTGTAAGTTATTGGTTATAGGGTTCAATATTGTTTGTGACTATGTGGGGATATATTGTTTTATGATTTTTCTCTCATTGTAGATTGGAGAAAGTGAAAGAGGACAATGAGTTTATACGTTCCGATATATTGAAGTTTGTGTCGCAATGTCAGGTAAGCTCTATTATTTGGTACCCAATTAAAATAAATTTTACGTTCAAAAGTACCTGTAAGGGTCTAATCGAAGTAAATGATTGTGACTTTGAATCTTTTCACCTTTCGAAAGGATAGTCATATAACGTGACCTCATCGGGTTTATAAAGGAAAGAATTTTGTAAAGTTTTTTGATCGTGATTGGTCCCTGGGTCATAGTTAAAGGGATATACATAAGTATAGGAAAAACTATAGAAAGACATGTTTTTTTGTAATAAATAAGGCGTCAAATAAGTGGACGTCTCACTTGATTGTAAGCAATTGGCGTGCCCATGAATACCTACAACATAGGAGGAGTTACTTTGCCGGCCTCTTGGAGGATTGGAAATCGATGAAGAGGATGAGGGGTAGATAAGCCTGTAACTGACACGGCGTAAGACTACGCTTTGTTTTTTGCTGCTTTTCTGTAATCTTCGGTTCTTATATACATCCTTGTTTTCGATCACAATCACACATATGGTGATACCAAATACTAGATAAAGGTACTCTAAACTTAACTAAAAATTGCGGGGTTCTCACGTGTGTAATATTGAGAAATGCTCTACTAGTTTCGCCCTACGCAGTACGTGACATCGCCGCGTCTGCGCACGCTGTTCATGAGGAAGAACCCCTCTATGGTTCGAAACTAGTAGAGCTTTTCTCAATATTATACACACGAGTACCCCGCGATTTTTAGTTATCCTAAACTTGTTTGTATGTGTAATTAAATAATACTTTTTTTAATTTTACCAGTACTACCCCGGCGAGGATATGGGAATAGTAAAACGCGGTTCCCTAGTTCCACTGCCGAGAAAGAATCTGGCGTTCGAGAACGGCAGAATCAGTGAGTGGACTGGCAAGTGAATGCCGTCTCACTCCTACACGCCATATCTACTATTAGTGCGATAGAGACAGACATATGTTTGTTGTTCCGGAGTTGAGCTTTACTAGACTTTACGTAGAGAGTTCTTAAGTTGTATGTGCTGACAGTAGACGTGGGAAATGATTAGGGAATTGAAATCATAAAAATAGTAATATAGGCCAAGTTAATAACGAAATAACGTATTAACTTGTAACAGGATAAATCTTACTAATATTATAAACTAGCTACTCTCGCACGGTACCACCCGCTGCTCGATGTTTTATAGCCTTCCTCGATTAATAGACCAACAAATATAAAATGATTTTTTCAAATCGAACCAGTAAATCCGACGATTAGCGCGTTCAAACAAACAAACAAATACTGCTGCTTTAAAATATGATTGTAAATTATAATTGTGGAAGTGTATGAGAATGTATGTTTGTTTATTCCCGCAAAAACATTTATATTGATACATTAGACATTTAAGGCCTAGAGCCTTCTGCGAAATTCTACATATGGCGATCAGATACAATTTTAAAATAGTCTTTCTTTGGTTCCGATAGCCATTCTTTGACTATGAAACACTCAATTTCGAGTCTCCCAACGTTATCTTCAGTCTACTGTTCAGTACAATAAAAGTATTGCGAATGAGAAGCTTCCGTAAATAGTCATTCAGAAAAAAGTATTTAATTTAGGTTTCAATGTGACATAGCATCCTAATTATATCAATACTTTTGTCAATGAACCTTAGAAAGTGATTCTCTCCTAAGCTAAAGATAATAGAGATAGCAATATGAAGGTCAAGGCAAAAGAATTGACAAATTATTTATTAAGTCAATACTCCAAACAGACAATTAAAAAAAGAAATTGTTTGTGAACGAAAAAAGTAAAACGTCATAGATAAAACCTGCATAGAATGTCCCAAACTTAATATTTTTTATCTGTGCAGGATCATATTAATTTTATAAATTAAGTTGGGATTCAAATTCCGATATTTAAATAAGTTGTTTGTAACGTTAGTGGAAAAACTTGATTTAAATTTCTTGAAGCTTTCACTTGTGTATGTGTGAAATGCAGAAAAATTACCATTAATGTAATATTTTTGGGAGGCTGCAATGATTGAATAGAAGTGTCTTCAAACTCTTCAAATTCACAAAAAATTATGACTAATTTATTTTTTTATGTTGTTAACCACAATTTATTTTATTTGCATGCAATACATATTATTGGAAGTTAATTTATTATTCCGTTAAAAGTTTAACGAAGCATGTAAAACAACAAATTAATATAAATAGGTTAATTCATAAATAAGTACACACCCTGTACTAAAAGGTCCTTTTGAAATCAAATAAAATTATGAATAAACAGAAATAAATCGTGGGCTTGCGTCAACTTTTACTAGCAAGTTACCAATACACCGCCGCAGTAGGCGACATTCCGGGCGTCGGGGATCAAGAGACGATCTCCGGTCACCGTAAGCGCGGGTCTGCGTACGGCGACTAAAGGTTGCTCGCCGCCCGACTAGATCCAGGCCCGAGCGGACGGCGCGTAGCGATCCGCGGACACGGCTGATGTTCAGCCGGGGCTGCGGGTTAAGCGCAATCACTCACCGCGGCCTCGGACCAGAGCAGGAGAAAGAACGAGGGGGTTTTTCAGTCAGTAAGAGTCTGACACTCTCTCTCGCCTTACTCTGGGCGGGATAGGTCATTGATGATTTTACCCTGACAAAAAAAAAGTTACCAATATAAATCTATACAATCTATAATATGTTTAATTTCGTTTGGACCTTTTAGAACCAAGGTGTAAGAGATTTTAATTAGTTAAATAGTATATAAAAATAGATTAAATATGCATCTTTAATTTAGTTACGATTTATTTTTTAACGCAAATTATTGTCAGTATTGTACCTATGTTATGTCTACATTATGAATCAGAGATTTATTTATTGTTATATTTGTACTTAGAAATACGATTTTATCATACTTTGTTTTGTTTTAATATTATACAGTTCTCTTTGAATTTTATGGCCAAGCTCTACCCATATTAGTACCTTGTCACACTGCAGCTTTTCTAATGAAAAAAAAATGCGCTAAGTTTTGCGCAAGTTTGCGCAAAATTTGGCGCAATTACACGTTTACTGCAGTGTGCTAACTTTTACGTGGTTATTACTATGAATTGTATTCTGGTTATTATTTTCTAGACGTTATGTAATAAATGTTTAACCTTTAACAATTTTAAATCAAGCTTCGATATGTAGGAAGGTCATAAAATTTGGCGAGCACGACTCGTGGAGCTAAAATTGATTAAATTTGAACACTCTTATGAGTATACATGGCCATAGCTACATTACATTAATTAGTAAGTATCCGTCCCTTTTGCCTCAATCACTCTTTGGATTGTATCCGTCAATTAAACAAAATGGATTATAATATTATTTAGTTTCTTTGTTTTTTTATTTAAGACTGTCGTTATGCCATAACGAGCAATCCTGTTTGCTTGTAGTTAAACACAAATTAATCAACATTATTTACGTTTTTATAGCTTACTTTCGTTTTTATTATTGTAAGATACTAATAAACTATTTGTAAATAATATTGGGTTTTCTTTGTTGCTTCTGATTTTCTTAAGTACTATTTACCCGTATTCATTATCCTTGAAGATAAAGAATTTAAATTCATCAAAATAAACGAGATGGCGATTTACTTACGTGTGAATTTTACAATACAAATACCTATATACCTATCACAGAACTTTGTTATGAACTTATGACTAAATGTGTATTTTACCTTTCTTGCCCTCTATGAAAATCGTAGTATTAGATATTATTTCTTAAAAAACGAATTGTGTAGAACTCATAAAACTAAAGGAGACTCTAAAAACTAAAGGTTGAGAAAACAATAATAATTTATCGCTCTCACGGGCCGTCCGCAGTCATGTATGAAAAGGCGTTAACGTTATATGCGGCAAGGCATACGAATTTGCGCTTTCAATTTGAAACAATTTGGAGTAAAATTCAATAAAATATTTTGATTGGAATTATTTATATTTTGTAGATCATTTACAAGAAAGAAATTGCTAATCAACACCGTACCGACTCTGCCAAGTTGTTCACATAAGATAAAAAATAAATTTAGTCTATGTCTTTGTTTATGGTACGATCTTATCCAGCAATCTAGTGGGTGGGATTCAAAGCAAAAATTTGCTCCTTTTATCGATGGACTAAAGTTCAAATTTGTATAACAGAAAATATGCCTTCGTGCTAATGTCACGTTAGTTCATCATGCATGACAGTTCTTGTTTTTCGGAATCGGATAGTTGGTTGAATCTAGAGAATTTGAGAAACGTAAACGTCACTCAATACTCAATTTGTTTTGGTTAGTTTGATTTTGACGTCTTGGGTGAAAATTGTTCCTGCTGTTTGTGTAACAATTGTACGTTTGTGCGAAATCTTTACGCTTGTAAAACAAAAACACTGGCTGATTTGAAGAGAAACGATTTCGACAGGATGGAAGTGGATCAATTCGCTGTCGATTTATATACCGGTGAGGGATCACGGCTGCCTCTCATCGACGAATCGTCGGCTTTCGGGACACAGGCACCGAAGGACAGGTACGTAACCTTTTGCGAATAGTGCGTACATAATTCCAGGTGGAAAGTCATCGTGACAATTATTAGATTGTAAAACGCGTGGTGAGCGTCCAAAAATGGTCATCGCCCATCGTTGTGAAGTATAAAAAAAGTTTCTCTACGAGCTCACCCACGCAGCAGTTATATTTCTATGGCTTATAATTAATTATATTGCGATGCTTTTCGACAAGTAGAGGTAGTTGGCCTTTTTTGTTTTCTATTAAGTGTTCCATAAAAGGTGTTGCTTATATTTGTATCAAAAGACAAGGTGGATGTAGAATAAGCTAGTGAAAGATTTCTGTTCTGATTGATAGCTATTTAAGTTATTTAAATGGTCATGGTTGGTTGACTAGTTCAGGTGAATTATATGCAAACTTCAGCCTTAACACATCCAGTGCCCCCGACGCGTATGTGCGTTTCCTTACGCTACTCTGTGTGCCCTCATAAGGAATCGCACATACGCGTCGGGGGCACTGGATGTGTTAAGGTACTAATAAGACTCCAAAGCCAGTTGAACATTATGTTTAAAGATATACAGTATCAAAATCCAAGATATCTCCAGTATTATCAGTCTGCTATGAATGAGTATTGCTGACTGACTAAATAGCATTTCAAGTTTGAAAATTAGCTCATAAAGAATAGAGTCTGAGCAAGTCTCCCACCAGAGTACCTTTCTCAACTAGAGTGGTTCCTTGTCCTCACAGGATTCTCCATCCAAAGATAGAAATCAGTGTGCAACTGATATCTGTTCTTTTGCCTTTTTTATGTTAATACTAGTACATGATATTTACTATGGTCTATCACTTTAGGTGGTTTATTAAAGGTAAACTATCTTGGTATGTTTTTCAATATTAAAGAGCTTGTATGAAATATTTAAGCTAGCAAAGATTTAGGAAAATTCCAATTTGTAATGTTTTGAGATAAAACATACTATTTTTAGACAAAATTTAGTTAATTATTAAAACCGATAAATAAGTTAGAATATGATCAAAATGAATCTTAATTTCATTGATAAAAGTGACACATGGTCTCTTATCTTTTAGTTTGGTCCTCATGTAGATAAACAGCTGCAACGGTGTTGATTCATATGCTGACTGATTATTTGTAGCTTTAATTAATTAATATAAACTTTTTTCTACAAACTTTTCAACTATTTCTTGAGCAGATACTGAATGTAATGTTAGTCTATTCTTGAACACAAGTTGTAAATTTTAGGCTAATTTGTGCTGATACCAAAGATACAGCTTTATTCTTGATTTCTGTATGTGGTGAATTGTGGTGCCATAGGGCATTTTAGTCCACCCTAAAAATAACTTTGAGGTTGAACACCATATGGTATTTAATATAATACAATTCAAGCTAATGCAAAATTTCTATATCATTATCTTATTGCCCAAACAAAACAAAAATACATTATACTTAATACCTAAAAATCTAATTTTGCTTTGATAGAATGTTACTAAGACAGTAATAACAATTTTCAATTTAAAAATACCGAAGTTCCTTCCATATAAGAATATACCTTTCCTTCTGTATCTTTTATATCCTTTGGAATGTTATTATAAATTTTAAAATACACTTTTTTGAGTGGTTTTCTTCTGCTAACATTATTATACGATCTACTTCTATTGCGAGATCTACATTCTACTGTAAATAATTCTGGCTTTTATTTTATAAATAGAACCAATTCTAGTATATAAATTGAGAAAAACTAATATTTGAATACTCTTTGCAACAATAAGTATTTTTTAGACTACATAATATAGCATGAATATTGTACGCATTTTTCTTTGACATTTAAAAACCCGGTCCCAATTAGTATCAATTCCTCAAAAGATTATTGCATTTCGTAAACTACATAACAATGATGACGGGAGGCTCAATTTTTTGGAGAAGATATTAATATTAAGGCTGTAAGATGACCGAGATATAATTTTGCATAAGAATTCTATGTTGTTGCTGTGTTTGTTATATTTTACTTCTTTTCCTAAATATTCTACTTTTGTTTAAAATGCATAAGTTTAGTCTTGTGAATATTTAATAATAAGTTGTTATTGTTTAACCATTCTATTATTCAACATAAGCTTCTATTTGTAGTCAGATTTATTATAAACTACTGTACAGTCATCTCCAAATAGCACCATTCTATCACTAGTAGGTAGTTATTTAGGGCTGATTTTTTAACAGATAAATGTTATCTGAAGAATAAAACTGTTGCTGTTACATTCTGACAGGATAGCATCATTATTATTCCCCAGATAACTTTTATCTTACCCTTAAAAAATCAGTCCTTAGGAATGTCATTATTATATATACACCCAAAACGCTGCCCTGAGGAACACCGAACCTAACTATTCTACTAGTACTTCGTCTATACATTGTTTCAATTTTAGTTTTAGGATAAATTCTGCTTAGGCTTGTGACTTGAGTTCTGTTAGTGAGAAACAAGTTTATTAAATTAAGGGCATGGTCTCTTACATATTCAGTTTATTTAGTAAAATTGAATGATCTACTAAGTTAAAGGCCTTTGACATATCCATAAACAAACCGAATTATGTCTGTCTATCTAGGATTAATAATCTAGGATTGATTATGCTCAAAAGCTCGTGAATAGCTAAATTTATAAACGTTTTGATTTTAAGAAAAGATGCGATTCTTATTAAAACTGTCATAGAGGTTGTTATAAATGCCCTTTTTATTATCCGTAACTCCTGGAAACTTTTTAAAATGTATTTATACTATACTAAACCTACAAACTAAACAGATTGCTGTAAGTTTTAAATTTTGAATATTGCAATAAGGAAAACGTTTTCGGTGTTCCGCCAGGAAGCATGCTCAGACCAACGTTATTTTTGGTACATATTATGAGATACCCAACCTGCGGAACAAGTAATCTCTTACTGCATACCTGCCTGGAAACTACCACAACTAAACTTCTTGAGCTAGAAAGAGTTCACAGATCACTTATAAAGGCTAGGCTTTGTAAACCATTTAGATATCCAACAACTGAAATGTTTTATAAAATAAGTGACTTATTATAGGGCCGCCTAACCAGAATGGAAGACTGGAGGATATAATAGCTCACACCTCGAGAGTCCGTACTACGTAGATTTATAATAAAATAACTGACATTTACACTGAACATTCTATAAAGCCAAGTTATTTTTGTTCACTTTTTATTGTTAAGTAAGGTTATGGTTTATCTATATTATCGTCGTCTAATGACACACTACAAGATGGCAACAATTAAAGATATTAATTTATCTACATTTTAAGTTGATAAAGTCATTGTAGACGACTCACTGATTTAAAATTATTTTTCAATTAGCCATTGTAGTAGTTATTATACTCTATGTAACTTTATGTACCAATTTCAGTTTTTATATTGTGTGTAACGAAATATAGTACCCACTTTTGATAGATATCTATATTCATACGGCAGTGACTTGAATACTGATAAGAAAAAAAAGTTTATTTTGTACATCGTTCGTCCAGATGAACACAGTATTAACTCAAAAAAGCCTATTTTTCAGGAGAGCAATTTTAAGTTTTCAATTCGCTATATTTCCATTTCTGTTAGTTATTGGTTATAAATCTACATACAAAAATTCCCAACAGATTGATTGCGATACTGGACCAAGTGGAGATGCGAGTGGAGCGGTTGCGGCGTGATACAGTCCGCATTGAGGAAGAGCGTGACTCCTTGCTGTCCACCCTAGATAGTATCAAACACTCCGAGCTGCTCGGCGATGTGTCTGAATGTAAGTTACATTAATATAGGTACATGGAAAACATTATAATCTTTAATTCTTCATTGAATTTAATTTAAATCTATTTCTGATTTTCTTTCTTATTATAAAATACTTTTAACTTTATCATTCAGTTAAGTTTATCCAAATCCAAACTTTCAAACGAATATTATAAATGCGAAAGTAACTCTGTCTGTCTGTTTTTTGTTCACTTCTAAACTACTGAACCATTTTCTGTCAAATTTGGTACAGACATAGTTTGGAACTCGAGAAAGGACATAGGATAGTTTTTATACCAAAAATCTGCAGGAAGTCACTATTCCACGCGAACGGAGTCGCGGGCAAAAGCTAGTAGTTCATAAACTTAAATATACCATTTAAGCACAAATGTATTTCCAAAAGGTTTTTACCTGTCAACTGATTCTGATCTATGTGCTGTGTGTGGGCCAAAGTGCGGCTGGAAGCTTAGTTACGTAATGTACTTACATATCATTTTGAAATATTTTGGTTGTTGTGTTTCCTTATTAAAGTATTGGCTAAGGTATTAAATCCAGATACCTACATTTAGCCTACCTAATATTGCCTTACAGGAAAAAATACTAATTAAATTATACCTACTTATTTTAACATTTATAAATAACTAGCTACTCTCCGTGGTTTCACCTGCCGCTACAGATCTTAGCGTGATGTTTTATAGCCTAAAGCCTTTCCCGATTAATTGATTAACAATTACAAAAAGAATTGTTCAATTCGAACCAGCAGTGCCAAAGATTAGCGATTAGATTTAATATTATTAGTATAGATTTATACATAATTTCTCACGTAAATATTTACTTTAATTATATTCTAATCAGGTGACAGAGAAGATATAACGCGGTACGCTGAAAGGATTCTGGCGCGCGCCATGACCGTGGAGGTAGCTGTCCGTACTGATAGGGATGCACAACAGGAGGAGGCCCTGCATCAGGTAAGCCCTGAACTTTGTAATTTAATCAGCTTCATATTTTTTCTTAAAAAAAAAAATAGTAGGCCACACATTTTTTCAACATTAATTATTTAAAAATTAAAATTAAAAAAATATTATCCAAAATACAAAACTCGTTATTATGTAAAATCTTAAAAGCTCTTCTCTCACCTTTTTTTTATCATAACTTTCGTAAGTCATACAAAATTATTTATTATATTTTCGGCTTATTCACGTAATTGTTTGACGAGATACTCGACTAGTTTCAAGCCATGCTTGCCCATATTTGCTGCTAGTAGTAGCGTGACAGTCACCGCGTCGCGTGTCGCGGAATGCTGCTTATGAATATGGGTTTCTAGCATAGCTTGAAACTAGTCGAGTATCTCGTCAAACAATTACGTAAGTAAGCCGGAAACATAATAATTAACCCTTCTCTTACTACATTAATTCGATAATCTTAATATAATGATTTCGCCTTTTCCACGATGATAGCTAGTCAAATTACGTGTTTACAAATCACTTTATTTTTATCAAAATGAATTATTTAAATTGTTATGTGCGACGATTAGTATAATAGCCACGTTACTCTAATCTCTAGTTTTCTACCGATATCCATAAAGCTTTAATAAAAAAAAATCGGCACATCTTGAAAGAGTAACGATGGCAGAAACAGTTGTGTGTCGTATTTTAACAAGCTATTTATCGTCCCTTCGAACTTGACATTTTAAGCTTTATTTATTGCTTTGCGAAATAGATCAAGAGATGAAAACGAAGACTTGTAATGTTGAAGAGAGAGAGAGAGAAAAATAGAAAAACGTTTAGTCATCGAAATTCTATTTGTATATAAATTGAAGATCTATTAAACATATATTGTATTTGCCATAAGAAAGAAGGTATACATATAAATATTCAATATATTTTATTCGACATTTGTGACGTTTTTATTGTTGAGATCGACCCACAATAGTTACTTATTCTATCCCATAATCGCCTTTGTGGCACCCACATGGTCTCTCAAACAGATAATAGTTTGGCGAATAACCAGCAAGTAACTTATCCATTCTAGAAGTATTAGAATTAGAAGAGTAATGGATCGCGTATAAACTTAGACCATTGCTCATCTAATGTATATGCTATTATACATACAAGTGAAGCCTCTTAAATGCTTGTGTATTTCTTAGGTTTACTATGTACCTAGTCATATGAAGGCGGAGGCGGCTATGAAGACTATAGGTTTAGTAATTTATAGAAGCTTTAACAAAATTTAAACAAACCACTTCATAGAATTATGTACAGTACTTCTGTGATGAAAAAAATGCATAAATTTAAAGTTATACTTGTAGATTATAATCCACGGGCGGCGCCGGTCGCTTACCATCAGGTAATACGTCTGAGCGTTTGCCGATTATTCCATAAAAATCTAGCTATATTGTACTGCAATTGTAGGTAAAATTACTCAAACGTATCAATGCCGCGACCACAGACATTCTGATATCAGTCTGTTACCTTCCGTTGTGGGAATTGCGCTAATAATTGGTATGGATACTGCACGGCCAAATTCATGGTCACAATTCTCAATTGAATAACCAATTAGTATTATTATTTTACCTAGTTCTGTTTGTGGAAACTTTAACAGTCGTTAAGGAAATAATGTTTATTTTTATTAAGGAATTAGGTAATTATTACTGCAATTATAAATGGAACATTGCGTGTTCTAAACCTAAAGTTTTAAAACGGAATATGTATTTGATTGTTTGTTTTTATGCGTTTGTCTTCGACGATCGAGCGATATTGGTTGTTTTATACTATTTTTTCTCTAGAAGAGTTCCAACGGTATCCGGTATCATCCTAAATGGATACAAAGTAGCATAAAAGCTGCTACTGCGTGACACTCGCCATATCGTTAAATATCTAGATAAACTTTCCTTAATTTTCTAAGGGGCCCCGATGCCGCTTGAAACTAATTGTGTCATCTTGTCAAAAAGCTGCAGTTTCACGATAAGTAGTTTTAAAAAAATGCTGGCAGGAGATTAAAATAAAGCAATTGTTAAGTGTATCTAATATTTTTATTATTTTATGAAAAAAATAATTAAATTAAGATTTTATAAAAAAAGGAAATAAATCATTCCTCTAGAATCTAGAATCCTTATAATTAATTGATAGAAGAAAAAAACATTTAAAGCATTTGTGATATGTCACGACATTCCCCAGTCGTGAACATTAATTAATCAATTAATGGTTATACAACACTCAACTGTGCAATATGGATGTAATCGACATTTTATGGCACGAACGTCACACATGCTCGTGTTATTACTGCCATTATAAGAGCCATGCTTCGGCTTAAAAGGTCCAGCTTGACTGGAATGATGCTCCAGCTAATTGATTATCCCACAGACAGGGCCCTATAGGGCTGATGTTCAGCCGGGGTTGCGGGGTAAACGCAATGAGGCACCGCGACCTCGGCCGGAGCTGGAGAAGGAACAGGGGGGTTTTTAGTCAGTAAGAGTCTGACACTCTCTCCCGCCCGGCCCTGGGCGGGAGAAGTCATTTGATGATTTTCCCCTCACAAAAAAAAAGCTAATTGATTATCGGCGTGAAACAACAATACCTACCTTTTAGTTTATGTTTAATAGATTACCGGAGACGCCATCCTTTCGCCCATTAATTTTCTATCCCCTAAATCCCTAATAACCTCCAAAAAGCCAGCAACGCCCTCGTACTCTTTTGATATTACGAATTTCCTTTGGTGCCATCCACAAAATACTTATATGAAATTCTAATTACTAGTAGATTACTAAGGGCTGATTTTACAATGGTTACATAAAAGTTATATGTTGCTGTCGCTTCAGAATGTTTTAATAAGACAGCGACAGCAACAATTTTATTTCTCCGATAACATTTATCTGACAGTTGAAGTTGTTAGAATGAATATCTGTTTAGCGTCTAAAGGCTTTAGATTCTAGAATGTTTTCCTCAATTTGATCTAATCACTGCCTAGTTAATGTGTCTAATGGACACAAGCATGACGTGTTTTGCAAGATGTCTTGGAAATAAAATTCCATTTGTATTAAGTGCATATTATATGCAGTAACATAATTGAATGTAATAAAAATATTTTTAACACAGTTCTCATAAAGTGGCTCGAATCCCACGGCAATTAGGCACGTAATGACACCTATAATCAAACTGTGACTTTTTATGAATATTATTTACTAGTGAGTAAAAGTGTTTTTTTATATTATTGGTTGAGTTACTTACACTTGCGCTAAAATGCTATCCGCGAAGAGCCCAAAAAACAGAAACCTATTTTTTTATTCTATGATGATGCGTTCGCATAGGTAATCTGATTAATTTTTCCCGCCTTAAGAAAAATGTTCCAAAGATTACCCCCTACATACAAACTTACAAACATACAAACTTACATATTTTACTTCTTTATAATATTAGTATAGAATACAGTCCTCGGCTCCTTAAGACCCTCATCTGACAGTTTCGGCCCTCAATGCGCCTCTGCAGTAATCACCAACATTACACACTTGTACCATAATGTACTATTATATAATTTCGTGACTATAGTTTAATTAATATGCCTCACGTAAAAAATATGACGATATTTGATAGGGAGAATGGCAAATTGCAAAAGTACGAATGCCTTAGTTACATTGTATTATTAACATCGACAAACAAAACACGTGGTCTCGATACATTCAAGTTCTAGTAGTCAGTTATAGCTTTTATGATCACAACCAAGCCCAGGCGCATCTGCAATTAATAAGGAATCACTGTACAGGCAACAATATGTGTGGCCAGTCTATAAGTGCCAATTGCTGAGCAATGTCCTCCCTGGGAAGTTTTGAGCATTCATCAACTCGCTTGCTCAATCCGGATTAATTTCGAAATTTAAAATTATGATTGTTTTTCCTAATCACAATGTTTTCTGTTCTAAATACAACCTTAGAGTAAGACATACATACCTAAACATAACTCGGAAAAGGTTAAGTCATAATGAGCTTGAAGCGGTCTCTAGAAAAGCCTATTCTTTTTATGAGGGGATGTCTGCCAAAGTACAAGGTATAATCCCTCTCTTGGGTTGGCAACTTAAATATAGCTGTAACGTGATCCAAGTTTTCAAAAATGCTGCTACCAAGTTCTAGACATGACGAGTTTTAACGCAAATCAAATTGTATACCTCCAACAGCCTGTACTGGGCTTTACTTGGCAACTTGACTGCTTTAATCGACTGCAGTCTTTAATAAATAATCACAGAAAAGCCAGATTAATTAGAAGACCCAATACAAAGTCTAGAAATTTTCAAGTTACAAGCTCTAGGCTTATGGTAAAAAAAGCGAAAAGTAATGTTAAGGGTTTGCGGGTCTCGCGCGGTTTCACCCGCTGCTCGGCTTCATTTGATCGTAACGTGATGTTTCATAGCACTCAGGAACATTAAAGCTATTTATCAGTGAAAGAATTTGGCAATCCGATCAGCGGTTCCAAAGATTACCTCCTACATACAAACTTACAAATTTTACCTCTTTATAATATTAGTATAGATGTACCTTCTGAAGTTATCTACGCAATGCTACGTTCGTCATAGCAAAAAACAAAACAATGACATAATACATTTGTACGGGTGCGATGTCCTCTGCAAGCTCCATCGGCCATTGTTTATCTGTGAACATTTTGCAAATTAGATGGTAGGCATTAGGTACACAATGGCGCTTAAGATTAAATCATCTTAGTAATATTATAAATGCAAAAGTTACGATTTGGATGTTTGGATATTGGTTACTCAATCACGCCAAAACGGCTGGACGGATCTAGATAAAATTTGGTCCATAGGATACATTCGGGAATAGGACAGAGGCTAGGCTAGGATAATCAACATATGGAGCCGAAAGCGAAAAGCTGCGGGCGGAAACTACTAATTATATTTATTTCATTTGATGCAAGTCGTAAGTTGTTGTTTGGTGTGAAGGATTGAGGTAAACAAAGGATTGTTTCATAGTGAAGGTCATCCAGCTGATGATGATTTTGATGACTTATTTTACACAAATTAAGCTAATCTTGGTACTTGTACCTTCTGTCCCCTCTATCTCCCCAATCCCTTTATCCCCAACACCCCTTTATCTGAAAAAGACCGGCGACGAATTTTCAACACCTTAGGTGTCGTAAGTGCGTTCGTTGGTGGCTATTATGGCTCATTTTCGGGTTACCCAAAAAATCATTAACAAAGGAGTTCCTATAATCTTAATATTGTGTAAAAATATTGTTAATGTGTCCATGGATGCAGACACTAACTGTCATTATATTTGATATTCTATTTGCTACCTTATTATGATAAATAATCAACTGTCCAACCACAACATTGTCGGTTTTTGGTCGTATAATCTTCAGAGGTCAGGCAACTTTTGAGTATTATAACAAAACATTAGTAAAGTGTGTGGCAATATAGTTTAGTTTCAGTCTGTTGGTTTTTAACAACGCAATGTCAAACCATACAACACTCACAACACTCTTTATAAATTAATGGTTTCATTCTAAGTAATTGCTTTTTATAATTAGCTGCGATACGTCATTTTTATTTAGTTTACGTAAGACTATCGCGACATAGTATAAAACAAATCGTTTTTTGTCCGTCTCGTCTCTGTGTATGCTTACATCTTTAAAAATACCCCTTTATAATAACATTTTTAATAGATAAAATTATTAAAGCGGTAGGTTTATAAGTACAATTACATCCATTTAATAGTGGAGAAATTTAGTATTAGCACTGCGCCAATGTGTAACCGGGGTTTCGCTCTAGGCTCTAGGTTTTAATACTCCAAAGTTTTGTAAATGTTTCACTGGCGGGTTGTGAACTCGTAACATTTTTTTAGCTTATAGCTAATAGCTATTTTCTGATTAGTAACTAGAAGGTTTTTTTACTTTATGAATAACGAAGGACACGGATTAAAGCCCTCGAGTTACTACTCGTGTCCCTGCCTACTGGCAGGGTCTGTTATAAGTACCATGCAGTCAACAAGATCTCATTTTAAAGTATGTAAGGACCACTATAAACATACCATTTTCGCGTTCCAGGTGAACATGTACATAGACCAACTAGTGATGGCGGTGCACGACGACGCTGTCATCGCTCACACCCGCTGCCAGACCTTCATGAACGCCTGTACATCTCAACCAGACCCTTCGTCGGGCACCGACAAGAATTTCGAAAGCGCCATCTTGGGCTGCACACTGGATGACCAGAAGCGAGTAAAGAAACGTCTCCAGGGCCTCCTCGATTACTTCGCCAAGTTGAACGTGACCACGTGTTCGTGAGTGACCGCTTTGCTTGACAGCAAACTCGTCATTCGCTGAGTCTGTACCAGCTTTGCGTTTATCTGGACTGCCTGGGAGCGCGGTGCCGATCGTGCATATGTAACTGCAAGACTGTCACTCTCCAATTGTTTGTTTGTGATAATCATTCTCATTAAACTTTGGCCTTAAAGGAAACGTTGTTCTAAATTTTTTTTTGTGATTTAAAATCTTCATAAATTACACCTGATGTTGTAATCAATCCATCGTATTAATTACACTTATTATTATTTTTTGGTCTTAAATCTAGTGGATAACTAGTTTTGAACTGTTCAAACATCAACATTCAAGCAAATTATAAAGTCCATACTTAAAATTAAAAGTAAAATCATAAATACATTTATTTCCGGAATTTATGATGAAAATATGAAACATGCTTAATTATTTTCATTTCGGCTTGCCTCTGTTTATTTAACACAGACATTTTTCTTTTTTCTTGCCAAATAACAGAACTATTTTTACTATACAAATATAGTTGTTTTTTTTAAATCAATCAATTTATGTATTTAACTTCTACTAAATTTTCAATTGAATGTTTCATAAATTAATTTATTTTTTCTTCACATACATATGTATGGATGTTAATGTGTGAGTTATGCGTCTAAATTGCTGTAAGTGTATTGCTGTCTCATACAACTGCATATAAAACGATAAAGACAGATGTAATCTTAGGTTACGTAAGATTTATGTAAAATTCTCTCATTGAAAGGCACCTCCGTTCTTATGGCCTCCAAGGTTTTTATTTAAAGCTTTTTAAATGTGATATGTATATTATAATTGCAGTCAACTGATACTTAGTACGGTGTTACTCGGATATCAGCCTTATAACGTAGTAGTAAGGTCGGTGTTACATTGTGCTATGGGTTTGGTTGTGTTTATTTAGTTCACTGCCTTCTACAATAGGTTTCGTTTCGAACAATGGACCATTACTAGTAGTCTACATTAAACTGTAGGATCCCTCAGACGTATCCACTTGTTTACGCTTAGTAGTTGAATGTATTTTGTTTTACTGTAGGCCGAGTTCATACTATGTAATGTTTTAAAGCGTCTAACGCGCTATATCGCTGTCATTACAATTTGTACCCTTTGTATAGGAAATAAGTTTTATATTGCATTGAATGCGCGCTTCACATCTTAATGTCAATTCTTTTTTTAAACGCTCAGCCAAATTGGTTAACTCTCTTGCATGAAAGTCTCAATAATTTTGCTATCCGTCTCTTTCGTACTCCATGTAGTAAATGAATGTTTAGAAAGAGATAGCAAAACAATGTACTCCTTTTAATGTTAAAATCATGTAAGGATTACTTATATGCGGAACGAATGCTACATACGTGTGGGATAAACGTGGGAGTACCATCCTTTTACAAGAATGGGCCGCCTCGAACAGCGTGATACCACGGCCTCACAGAAAACCGGTGTGAAATAACGCAACCACGCTTGCATTGTATTTAGCTGTGTCAGTGAGTTTATCGGAGGTTTACCTTCCCTAAATTCCCCAATCGTAAAAATCCCAAAATCCTTAAAGGTTCATTGCACTCGTATGGCCTATGTGCATGTTACAAGTCTTCATGGATGGGCAATGCCGTTTGCTTTCCAGGTGGCGATCTCTTCACTCGTAGACTGAACAATCGGTCGAACTATCCTATAAGAAAAATAATGCCTTCTCTTTCTACCTTAAAGGTCTGTGTCAAAAGTTAAACATCATTCATTTCAATTACACCCTTCCAGGCACTCTTGACCGTCAAATAACATTTTAAAGATATAAAGTGCCAATCTGTCGGTTAGTCCTGTAGTGGAGCTATTTGCTCGTTCCGAAGTGTAGATTCCGATGGAGAAGAACGAGCAAGAAACTTCATGGTAACTTTTTTTAAATCAGTTTCATATACAGATTCTTTTTACAAACAGTTAGTTCAATTATGTGAGAACAGTGTAACACTAATATTCAGAGAAAAATAAAAAGAAGTGAGTCCTGTGTGTACAGGCCCCTATTCTTAGTCAGTGCAAGAGAGTTGCAGCCAATTTTGTAATCATAAATTAATTGTACGTTATAATAGTATAATAATAGTTTGGGCTGATTTTTCAATAGCCAGCTAAATGATTAATAAAATTTTTGCTGTCACTGTCTTATACAAACATTCTGTCGCGACATCATCATAATTATTCCCCAGGTAACTTTTATCTAACCATTGAAAAATCAGCCCCTAAACAAAATGTATCATAATAATTATGATTATCGAATTTGCAGTTTTTGTTATACATAATATGTCAAGTCATTAAAAAATCCCCTTTCTTTTTATTAACACATGTGTCTGTCAAGTCTTCAAAACATCTACACATTCCTGTCGTCAGAAAGAAAATTAATCCTACCAACTTTACAATTCATGCAATCTATTTTGATATCTATATCTATATTTATAAAAGTCAAAATTTCCCAAATGTCAATACACTGCAAAAACAATTGCTTCGAATATCATCCTTGTTTGTAATCAGGCATAGAGATCAAAATCGATTGAACGAATGTTGTATACAGTTTGTGAATTATGTGTTCTTTAATGGATAAGGACTTGAATTCTTTGCACCGATATAAGAGGCTCAATATCAATGGTTTATGAAAAAAAAAGATACTTCAGTCAGTATCAAAGTTATTGGTCATAAGATTTTCTAGTGGCCAGTGTTTTTGATACTAACTCATTTTTTTTTTACCTTTTTTATGCAGTTCGAAAGTAGGTTTTAAGCCTTAAGAAGGTTTTTATGTTTTTCTTTAAATATAAAATAGTTATTTTAAATTGACCGTTGATTGTTTTTAGTTTTTAATAAAATTTATAGTACCTAATAATATTTATCACAATATCTATAATAAATTCGTGTGTATAGTAAATTATCATTGTTAGTTAGCTTCTGTATATCTGTCGCAGCCAATAAGTTTAATTTGTCATTCAGTTAATGGCCTACCTTGATGAAAAAATGATATTGCAAAACATAAAAAATCTAGTGTAGGGAAACTGTTTATTTTCTATGGCAATTCAATTTCTGTGCAGGTCGCAGATCTATCCTAACTTAACCTACCACTCTGGTAATAATGACAGCCATTCAATTTTCACCCTGAATGGGAAATACAGTCTTTTCATAAAATGGCTAGTCAATCAAACTATTAGTTTAATGGCTAATTAAACTAGTTGGCGGCCCCCAATCTACTAATGTAGTAGGTATATTTTGATATGTAACTGTATTTAATTTAAAAAATAATCCTACTAGAATATGTAACTTTTTTAAGGTATATAATATACTTTAGTACGTAATATTGTATTGTACTTATTACAATGATTGAAAATAATGCTCAATTGTATTATGAAGACCATTTAAAAAAATACTAAAGCTTTTTTTCCTAAGAACATTTTCTTTGAAATTGACAGTAGGCTCTACACAGATACAAAATTGTACGTTTTTATTGATCTATAAATAAACATATTCCATTGGATTTAATTTATGTAGTTTGGTTAAAAGATTATGCGTACTTCTCTATGGAACACGATCCAACACCATTGCCAAAAGACTATGTATAAAAATCTGAATAAATTAAATTTAAAATGATCAAAGGCCTAAAATCAAAGAAGATATACCTTCTCCTTTAAACATTTTTTTGGCTCACTGTTCTTTGATATCGTCAATTATACCCAATCACATACCACCTACAGCAAACCGCTAAAACCTCAGCATTCTAGCTATACCAAAATCACCTTTATTGTCTTTTGTATTCGTTTCAAATTCGTCCATCACGACAGGTATTTAGTTTACTAAATATAAAAGCAAATTACCGTGTAGCTTGTGTATGCGTGCTTTATGTTTATTTTCGAATGTAGACTATTCTATAGTTCTATTTAAATACGATGCGTACAGTGATTGGCAGTAATTGAGTTTTAGAAGGAGATAATTGGTTTTATATTGCCTTCTCTGTCCCACATATGAGAGGGCACTTATAGGAATAGATGAGAAATTGTGATTTTCAGAAATAAGGAGTAGAAGCTATCCGGTTTATCTCAGGCTTATGATGGAGGGCCCAATCCCCATCCCATACATATTAACTAAAAATTTTGTAAGCATGGGAGATTGATAGATGTATCTCTTTCACGTAAAAACTACTGAACGGCTCTCAATGAAATTGGTCATAGAGATAGATTGTAGTCTGAAATAAAACAAAGGCTACTTTTTACTGCGTACTTCGGGCGAAATCGTTGATATACGCTGGTCTATCATTCATGGCCCTACAGAATGTCAGATTGTTCGCCGACTATAAGAGGAAGGACTTTTAGTTACCGTGTCTTATTTAGTTACGGCGTTAGCATAAGGTGGATGTGCACTATTTCATATGAATCGTCGAAACCACACAGACGTGAACAAATGCGGCTAAGTACAATAGCCACTTAGATATATAGACATTTAGCCTTATTCTAAAGATCTCTTGTATACAGGCGTTCATACATTTTGTAAGAAACTCGTTATATAGTTCCCGTTGTTGTAAACGACATCTTAAAGGTACAGGGTGTTGTGAAAACTGGCGCAAGTTTATACTTAAATTTGCCGAATCCAGACATCGTGTTTGTAAAATGTCGTCAGTGTTTTTGTAATATCATTGCAATTTTAGTGCATTAGCAATTTCTTGAACGGTTATTTACATGTCATAGGCTTCTTTTTGAATACATAACGTAATGTATAATAATTTGGTGTTTTTATTTAATTACCACCGCCTTACAGAGAAACAAAGAAGAAATTCGCAAATAATTTATTTTTTTATAAAATGAATAGTTAGATAAGTACAAAATATTTACATAGCTTTGTTATTACAATATCAACTAACTAAAAACATTAAAATATGACTAAACAGCTTTTCTATCGACTAAACTTAAGGTTGCCATAGAGATTTCAAGTTAGATTTAGAATATTTTTATAGTAAATTCATAATTATTTCATTCAAGTTTTTATTGGGACCGCATAACAGTATTTTTAAAGAGGTTGAATAAGTTCTAGTGTTTTTATTACTAGCAGAGGGCGCCACCTCTGTCTAAAGTCCTGCCAATTATTTTCAATCCCTATTTTTGTAGTATTGTCTATTTTTCTACATTTTATATCATTAATGATTTTCTTGGACTTGTAATGGAGGTATGACCAATAACTTGCCTCCTTATTCCCAAAAGAAAAAGACATTTATAGAAACTTAACAATTTCAGGACAGATTGTTTTTCATCCTTTACAGGTCATTTAGATGTTTTGTAATACTATAACAATTACAAAATAAAGTGTTGAGCAGTTATACAGAAGCGTGTGATCATCACAGTAGTCTGCAAGCGTTTCTTAGTACGTTCTTCTTCTTGCCGCCCGGCCGATGTTTCGTTGGCCGCAGCAGAATTGTACCATTACTGTTGTGGTTTGTAAATGTTCCTGAAATCGAATTTGGTTTTGAATTATTCGTTGCGTAACGACACTATTATGGTGTATCTATATAGTCCACTAAAACAAGAATCTCACTTAAAGTATTTAATCTAAACTGTACTCCAATACAACGTTTATAACCTATGAATCTTCTTTTCAAATTTCACTTTTAATGGGAATAATGTTTAGATATGTAATATGATTTCTCTTCCAAAATAACTTAATTCAAAATTGCATGTTACCTATGACAGGTTGTTGGCACGGCGGCATTGTGTCGGCATCATCACGCCGCATGTCAGACAAGCACCGTGCAGCTAAAGCTCTGAACACAGCTCCGACATTAACGTCTTCTTTTACTGACGCACGCATCAACCGACATCCTAGTGCTCTTGCTACTAGTTCAGCTTCATCTCTGGGGAAATAGAAAATAGATTCAACTTAGTAATAATTAAATATGACATTCATGCACATAACGTGGAAGGCGAAGATAAGAACTAGGTACAATAATGCTTTCACGGCTTTAGTAAGCCGTTCGATGAATTAGATATTGCATATTTTTGTCGGATCAGAGGGTAAGACATAATGTTAAATAAGTAAATGTATACTCTTTTAAGTTATCAGTATAAAAATAACTAAACCTTATATAAATTAATATCAAATAATTTATTTTGCTGTTTAAAATTAATGAGCATTCCTCAAGGTTGCTTAATGGGGCCACCTACTGAGGCATATAACATCCCTATTTTAGCGTAGTAAAGTACATACATATTGTTATCGACAAGAATTCCCTAACATAAAACAACATGTTTACGTTTTAGTTGATAATAAAAACATGTACTTACGGTCCAACGACGCATTGATCCATTAAATCAATTTTATTTTGAACTATGATCGTGGGTATCTCGCCGCATTCATTCTCCACCTGAAAATCAAAACATATACTTTTACTCTCCGCACTTCACTTGAAGTAAATTGATCGATCCCATTATTTACCTATTTCACGAAGATTTCATTAACAATAATAACAATTCATTATAATTTCAACTTAGTTTAATACGTAAATTAAAAACATTTATAAATCAATATCTCAATGGACAATCCGGGCTCCCTTCGCGTCCATTCATGATTTCTATGCTGTCCACAATGGATTGCACTTCAGACGATGACGGCAGGAACTTTGCGTACAACATCCCTCGTCCACCAGCCGAACAATTGATCCCCAAAATGTAGTTATCGTTCACTTTCTTAAATATGTATTTGGCTACAGGTTTATCACAGGAACGATACATTTGTTTCACTTCTTCTCCTCCGTAGTAAAGGAGGCTGACTCTCTTGCCTGTGCTGTTGGTGTAAGACGCCTTTATCACAGTCTCGTCCAAGTCGTAAGGGTTACTGCAGTCATCCGATGTTTCTTCATCGTCTGAGACCTCCGCGAAATTGATATTTACGCAGCTGTCCCGTTGCCTCTGTCTCGGCGGCCAGTAGTAAACTCCATACATTTGCGCAGGCAATTCCTTCAAGTCAAACTTTTCTCCGGTTGCATAGTATCGTATGCAGAATGACTCCCTGTTGCCATAATTTATCGAATTCACGCCACACAGCAAATAAAGGAACGTGAAGATGAATGCGTGAAACCCGTGCATCTTCACAATTAATTGTTAGACTTGGATAAATGTATGTATGTGTCCGGTCCAAATATAGCCGGTTGAATGTAAACAGTCGATGTGCGTTACTTGATAGCAATGGGTAGATAGTACGCTCTGTCGGTACATGGCGGCTGTGTGAGCGAGTCACGACCTCACTCTTATCTTAATGTGCTGCTTCAATTAACTAAATACCTAAGAACTTGGGACTGAATTTTAAGAGCTAGCCATTAAAATGTATGTTTTGGAGATTTATGTTCTGATTGTCTGGTTTTTAAACAAGTTCTTATCCTTAATACTGAGAATCTGATGAACTGGGAGCAGTTGTTAATATAAGTAGAAAATATTAACATAGTCTCCGGCTCCATGACTAGGTCGGTATAAATGTGGTGCAAAAAATGTTCTGTATAATAAGCAGAACGAGAAACATTAGCATGTATGTAGGTACACTGAGTGTGTGTACAAGCTAGTTAACAGGGTCAATCGCGGCCAATGACCAATGTGCGTGTAATACCTACTACACTTAGCATTGTTTAAGTTGCATAAGATTATCTACACTTGCCAAATGCTCGCAGGGCAACCACATTTACATATATATTACTTGTAAACCGAGCTAAATTGAATCAATTATCTTGGAACTTTATTGCGCTGTTTCGATTGCTACTAGATTATTCTGACACAACGCATATCATTTAGGTTCTTATTACTTACATGAAAACCAGTTATTTTCATCGAGATTTTCGTATAAAGTAGGTACATTATACCTTATAAAAGTGGGTAAAAGTAGAAAAGTAATAAGTAACAATTATTACAAAACTGATACGTTCATCATTTCTTTAAATATCTCTGAAATTAGGGTAAATTAGTCCAACTAAATATTGTACAAGGCTGGGACAAAAATGTATCTTTCATAAAAAAAGTATGGAACACGTATGTATGGAATAATGAGATTGTTTTAGTGGCAGTAACGCACATCACTTTTACACTAGGATTTTGAATTGCACGCAAGTGTTCCTATTACAAGAGAGCGGCCATAGAATTGTTAGCAAATTTAGCTTAGGGTTGTCTCTCACCTTGAGTTTCCATGAATGCAGTGAGAGGAAGGAGTCTCTGTCCGTAGTGCTGAAGGCCAGTACGCATGCATGGGCGCCGCGGTAATACGCCTTCGTAATGGCATCGAACTCCTCCTGCCCCGCCGTGTCCCATAACATCAGCCGGACTTCCTCGCCGTCAATCCTGAAGATGGACAAAGAAGGAGAATTAGCTGCGTATTTTCTCTGCACTTTGACGATGTTTGGGCGTTGTCTTCAAACCAGTCTACGGATCACCTGATGGTATAGTATATTATACAAAATAACGTAAGTCAGTCTAGCCGATTCAGAGTTTAACGTTTCAATCGTGATAATTCGAAACACAACGGAACGAACGAACGGCGTTCTCTTCGGGTTTTATGAATTAGGCGAGACCAAAAATTAGCTACATACCTATCTGTAAAAGTACTAAAAATGAATCGCATATTGTGATGTTTAGCTGTGGTTGCAGAGCAAGCGCCATAAGGTACCGTGGTCTAAGCCTGAAGCAGGAGAAGGAACGGGGTGGTTTTTAATCAGTGAGAGTCTGAAGTCTGCCTCACCCTGGACGTATGGCTTAACAACGCCTGTTCCAATTGCCTATTCTATTTCTGTTGTTGTTAGGGGGAGGTTTTTATAGAAGAAAATTTAGTAAAGTGGATAAATTTAAATGGGAAAAGTTCCCTTCATCGTCAGCAAGGTAATTGTAAACCCGTGTTTACTAGGGCGAGCCGCTAGTCATACTATGCCGATAGATAATTTTAATTTGCACCCATTTCTTAATTAACAGTCTTACTCTCATACGTTATTTCCGACGATTACTTCATTTTCCTTATTATTGCAATTTTTGCTTTGTTACTGATAATAGGTAATGTTAATATTTTTGAACGACGACACCTATACTATCGTTATCATGCAATATTTATTTGTAGGTGCATTACAGAAAATGATGACTGTTGATTTTGCCATTAGTTCACGGAAGGAGCCGTCGGATTTAATGGAACTGTCATGAGCTTAATGTTAATGAGACACGTTTCAGTTAACTCGATTGCCAGCCATTTCCTCCAGTCAATCCTGGGACCACCGCCGCGACGCCAGCCTGATTACTCTAATTAAAATCCTTACTTCACATCTATTACAAGACATCAAAGCACATCTTAATTGCAATTAAAGGCACATCCCCTGTAATTATCAGACTTCCTCTCAGTGATCGCTTAATTATTTTAACCACCCTGAGATATTTAATCAAGTACAAAAATGTCTGCATGTTTCTTGACATTGTAAACTATTGTTTCGAATTTGATGAGTTCGACGAGATAGATAGATAAAACTGTTACTAATAGATACGTATCCTATATACTTAGCTAGTAGCTACGCATCCTGAGTATGAAAATATTTCACCTACACAACTAATTATTAAGTAAAAGATACCTAAGTAGAAAAGTATTTCTAATGGAACAAAATATGAATGAAGGTAGTTTGGGCAACGTAATATTAGTATATGTACTGCCGAAGCAATATTAAGTATTTTATTTTCCCAGAGGGGTAAGTAGACAGAAGTGGTTCTGAGCCTTCAATTTAAATACCGAAATAAGTACCCGTAGATATATTTGACGTTTATCCATATCGGATAAATCCCTTTTTAAATGTTTTTTTTTTTATGTAATAGGTCGCCAAACGTACAGACCGGTTACCTGATGGTAAGCAAGCAGCGCCGCCCATGGACACCCACAACAAAGGAGTTACGAGTGCGTTGCCGACTTTTTTTGGGATTAGGGATTTGAAGATTTAGAAGGATTGGGTCTCCGGTAACCTCAATCACACGGCGAAACACAACGCTGTGGTTGTTTCACGCCGGTTTTCTGTGAGGCCCTGGTACCCTCTGTCGAGCCGACCCACTCGTGCCGAAGCATGGCTCTCCCACACTTTATTCTCAGGTTTCTTTAAAATGGTCACCGTAAGCGCGGTTCTGCAGCGAGCAAGGGTAGCTCGCCGCCAGACCCAGGCCAGCCGAGCGTGCGGTGCGAAGCGTTCCGAGCGCGCCTCAAAGAGTAAATTGACCACCATAGATGGGACTCGACAGGGCTGATGTTTAGCCGGATTTGCGGCACCACGAAATAAGGTTTCTTTTACAATTCCATCTAAAGGTTGTCCGGAATAAATTACCCTTTTTGTTTTTTTTTTTAAACTTTGCCCCATTCTAGGATTTTCTCCTGTGTCGTAGGTGCGGTTAGAAACATACCATGACACCCAGACCCGGAAAAACAATTTGTGGATCACACAAAGTGTTGTTCCGGGCGGGAATCGAACCCGCGACACGTTGCACGGCGGTCAGTTGCCCAGCCACCGCACCAACCGTGCACCCTGTGTGATAAGCCCATAGTACCTACACTTTATGGCTATGAATAAACCTGTGTTTTTTGTGTGCAATAAAGTATACATAAATAAATAAATAAATATGCGAATGGGTAGATGCCACGGGTAATGTATAACATATTCACAGATAATAAATGAGTTGTTTTGTTTTGGCAATCTAGAAAAGAGGTTAGGTTTCATTCGGGGTTATCTAGCCAGGATAGCATGGCACATTTTTATAATTTATATCTAGAGTAAAACAATGACTATAATTAGGTATGTGTGTGCGCATACCAAGTCAATGAAATATTAATGTTTTTTGGATTAAAGTTCGGGGTAACGATAATATTAATGCATACGAGATAATTGAGTCAGTTTTGAATTTAATTAACTGAGATATTATTTTTGGTTAAGTTTAAAAAAAAGCGGAATTATAAAAGCAGACGAGTTGAGAAAAAACATAAATCCTGTGCTCGTGAAACCGCAGGCTAGTTAATACCCAAGCATATACGTAGTAACGCAGTCCCGACTTGAAAAATGAGAAGGAGTGGGGTTGTATTTAGTCAGTAAGTCTGACACTCCCTCGCCCTACTCTGAGTGGGAGAAGGCATTTGACGATATTGATCCCCCTCAAAATAATTAAGAAGGCATTTATTCCGTACATTACTGACAAGCGCCAATATGTGTAGACTTACTCAATCTGTCTCTCCAAGAAGTCGACTCCGATGGTCTTCTTGTAGTCCCTAGTGAAGGTGCCGCGGCAGTACCGCTGGATCATGCTGGACTTGCCGACGCCGCCGTCGCCCACGATCACCACCTTGAGGGCCACCTCCAGGTCCTCCTCTCGCATCGCGCCACCGCCCACCCAAACATTAGTGGTCACTGCTTTCGTGCTGGAAACAAGATAACATGATGTTAGACATATTATGGAGTAAGAGGGCTCTCCTCTAAGAATAGACAGGCAACAGTGCATATGAAAGGCATAAATATAAACTCATAAACAGTGCCGGCGTAAGGGCCACTGATACCCCGAGCGAAAATATCGTGGCGCCCACTTGACGGAAGCAATATCAAGTGTTACATTTTTGATCTGATCCCAAGTAAAATAAAAAATTGCATAAGCAAAGAACTTAGAGCACAGTTCTGAGGGTGTTTGCACAAAGAGAGGCAAGAGACTCCAACTTCAGACCTTGGCGCCCCCAGAATTTGTCGCCATGGGCCATCGCCCCATCACGCCCACCCCCCCCTAACGCCGGCACTGCTCATAAAATGGCCAAAATACTGAAAATGATTACAAATGCACCTTGGTATATCACAAACGACAGGCTTCTTCGTGACCTGCTGAGTACAAACAGTGTAAAAGAGGAAATTATAGGTAGAACATAAAAAAAATACTAAGATCGAATCGCAAATCATTCAAACGCATTCGCAGTAAATCTGATGAATCTATTTACCTATAGATAACAAAAAGACTTAAGAGAAAAATCTCACATGATGTAGGTACTAACCAAATAGAAGGGATTATCATATTAACGGAGTTATCAATGGACGATTTCCGTACAGGATAATTGTAATTAGCACATTACATCAATTGCCGAATATCTTAGTAAAATGATAGATAGCAATATTATACAATAATGCCGTGGTGGCCTGTAGGTTTAGGCGGCTGGCGGTCTGCCAAGTACCAATGTGACTTTTTCCGAGTTATATGTACCTACTTTCTATTATTATTTAGAGACCACTGACTTACGGTGAAGGTAAACATCGTGAGGAAACCTGCTGGACTTATAATTTGTGATTATAAGTTTGAAATCACTAACCCGCATTGGTAATTAATGGTCTAACCTTCTCCGTATGAGAAGAGGCCTTTACTCAGCAGTGGGCACTTATAGGCTGATTATGATATTGATGAATAGTATACATATATGGAAAAAATATGGCCATATCAAAACTCATTGGACACATTACCAATACCAATTAAATAGGTCTGCAAGACATATATCGATCAACACTAAAACAAAATTCGAAATACGCAGCAGTTACTAATAAGACAGAGAGTGTACAATAGTGAATATCTAGACTAATATTATAAAGAGGTAAAATTTGTAAGTTTGTAGGTATGTAGGCGGTAATCTTTGGAGCCGTTGGTCGAATTGCCTAAATTCTTTCATAGATAGATAGCTACAATGTTCCTGCGTGCTATAGGCTATAAAACATCACGTTACGATCAAATGGAGCCGAGCAGCGGGTGAAACCGCGCGAGAATAGCTAGTAAAAAATAAAATTCCCGCCCAATAATGTATCGTGGCCTGTCTCGGAGCAGGAGGTGGAACGGGGTGGTTCATAGTCAGTAAGAGTCAGACACTCTCTTTCGCTTCTCTCAGAGCAATTGTAGAAAATTGATGATTTTAAATCAAGGAAAAATAAAATTATAAGTGAACAAAACTACGCAAAATTACAGCTGCGTGTTAGATATTTTGCTACTACAATTGTCAAAGGCGCTAAATTTAATTTTATGTTAAGATTGGCAATCGGGCAAACGGATACCTGATGGTAAGCAATCAGCGCCGCCCATGGACACCCGCAATAAAGGAGTTACGAGTGCGTGCCTACCTTTTGGAGACTTAGGGATTGGGGGAGGGGAAGGATTAGGCCTCCAGTAACCTCACTCACACGGCGAAACACAACGCTGTGGTTGTTTCAGGCCGGTTTTCTGTGAGGCCGTGGTATCACTCTGGTCGGGCCGACCCATTCGTGCCGAAGCATGGCTCTCTGACACTTAAATGTAATACTAAATTTTTTTGTCATATTATTGTCGAAAGTAACTATTAGAAGACACACACACTACAGTGAATACGAGAATTCTATAAAAAATAAATGCAGTACTTAATATAAAAAGAATGACAGTTAATCCATTAATTTGCTACAAAGTACACAAGAGACAGCGGTTTAGTGTCAAACTTGTTTTACAAAATGAAAAATAAGAACGTAATTGGTCCGTGACCATAAGTGCCGTATCCAGTGGCTCAGAGGCGCCTTACAAATACCAATTTATGAAGATCCCTTAAGTAGTATGTTATGTGCTGAGTGAAAGGTCCGAGCAAAATGGGTAGTTTTTAAATGGATTTTGATATTTACGGCTGGTTATTTTTAAACATAACAGTTTTGCTGAGTGTAATTTGGGTCTGAGGTACAGGTTAAGTTTTATTAGGGGGATTGCAAGAAGTACATTTGTACTATTAATTACTATAAATAATAAGTACATGAATTTTTTCGTCTATAAATCGCGACTGTGTATTTTCATGAACGCAATTAACTCGAGGCTAGAACCTTCTTTATTTGTCAAGTTTTGAACGAAAAGCTACCAACATCAGTTCCTGAACATGGCGAATTCCTGGTTTAGGTACGAACTTTCATTCCCAACAATAGGTACTACTATTTTTTTCAGGATTGGTTTCACGAAAATATATGTAGGTAAGTTGTCTTGTCTGAGAGTCCTTCCCACGTGCCCCTTTCAATTTCATGCATAGATTTTTAGGATGAATAATGAAGAAAACAAAAAGAAAGAATATATTACCTGATTCCGAAGAACCTTAGGTAGGTACCAACAAGACTTGAAAGTGTCGAAATGTCTGATCAAGTAATCAATAAATAATTGTGTCGGAAATACTTAGTAAGCGGATCGTCTGCCAATAGTTTTACGTTCATTTGTCCACTTGCTAAGCCTGACTGCGTGACTGACGGTTCACATTTCGTTAAATCATTGTAATTTTACTTTCGACGCATTCCGCGTTTCTCCTGACGACCGTCGCCGCCGTCCGATCGGCCGCGGCGTTGGCGTCGGATTCCGCCAACTCATGCAAGCAGATGAGACGCGCAGATTATGTCAATATTCGCAGAAATCTCGTTTTTCTTTTAAGACAAGTATTAGAACCGCGGGAAGTAGATTTATGATATGTGCAGATGATATATAAATATTTTAACAGTAAGTGAGCAACTAGGTGGGGTTAGTTTCTCGCTTGCGTTTTCTTTTTTGTGGCTGTTGTCCAAATATTTTGTGTCGTAGGCAGCAGTAAGCAGTTTTGATAAAGGTATAGGTACATTTTTGTTAGAATGAGACGAAGAAGAAGTTTTAGTTTGCGATAAAATATACTTTCCCTTATGTGCAGTAGCAGAAAAGTGACTCTTCCTATCAGTGAAAATGGTGTAAATTAATTGAGTGTTAACAACATAACATTGTTGTTTTATCACGATAGTTTGATACATGTTGAAAACATATTAAATGTAACTATTAATCTAATTGACATTACAATAAAGCATACAAACGATATTATACCGAATAATGTAGTAATTTTGAAATAAAAAAGTGACGTGCGTTATTCCCGACTGTAGATACTGTCCACATAGGTAAATATTTATGCCAATTAACTTGTAGGTACATGAATCAGTCAGGCAGAAATGACACAATTGTCACGTTAATTTTCTAATTCAAATGTAAGTTTTCGAATGCATTAAAGTCTTGCAACAAAATGACGGAAACAGTTGCATTTAATGTTTGATTCATGAATCACCTATTTGCATTTGATTGTAACATTCGAATTTCGTTGGTTGAAAGTAAAAGGGATGTCCAATTATCGCATATGTAACCACTAAGCAATCAGAAATCTAGAATCATCGCGAGCTCCGCCTCCCCTTAGCGAACATGATGGCTTTGCAGAAAGAAAAGACGGCTTCTAGTTTCTCTCGCTTCGCACAATGGCCCCAACAAAGGCCGAAGGGACAGGTCGTCGCTGCCGATCACTTCCACGGCGTTACTCAACCCAAGGGCTAGGGCACACTACCCTATGCTCCACCATGTCTTCCCGGTGCCAACACCCGGGCGTTTTATCGCCCAGATAATATATTTAAAAACCGCATCAAAATCCGTTGCGATTTTTTTAATATTTAAGAAGCGACTTTGTTTTATACTATGTAGTGAAAAGTAGTGATACATATAAGTTGTATTAAATAAACTGGTAGTGTTAAAAGTTTGTGGGGTAGACAGAGAGAAATCTGTGGTCGGCGAGTGCGGGTAGCTCGCCGCCCGACCAGAACCAGACCCGAGCATACGGCGTTGCGTTCAGCGCGCGCCTCAAATAGCCAATAGACCACCACAGACGGGGCCTTACAGGATGTTCAGCCGGGGTTGCGGTGCAAGTACAATAAGGCACCGTACAGTACGGCCGCCGTATCTTGGCGAGTCTGAAGAGTTAGCCGTTTGTCTGTGCAATGGGTCTTTTAGGAACAAAATTGTGTACTGCGCAGGTAATCGGAAAACTTCAGACTCGCCAAGATACGTCGACGGTATTGTAGCCTCGGTCTTGAGCAGGAGAAGGAACGGGAGAGGGAGGGGGGAGGGGTTAGAGTCTGACACTATCCCGCCCGGGAGAAGTCACTTGATGATTTTCTTCCCACAAAAAGGTTTAAGTTCGTATCACATTTTTTCCAAAACGGGAAATCTCAATTAGGTACATTTCACATGCATTTTAATTTCAAAGAATGGTTGCATGTAGGTAAGTATCTTCAAATACCGTATCGAACATAAATATTTTTCCCAATACCGAATGCAGCGTTGAAATGAAAAAATATCGATACACATTTAGTTTCCCATGCATCGTCTTAATTCATTAGACCGTATAAATAGGTTGATTTAATTACTATTACTACTATAATCCGTGTTAGCACAATGAAAAAAGATGCATTTTTTTCATGGCAACATTATTTGTTCGTACGTACTAGAATAGATTCAAATAGAGTTGTTCATGTTTATCTCTCGAGCGGTTTCACCCGCTGCTCGGCTCCATTTAAACGTAGCGTGTGGCCTATAGCACTCAGGAACATTGTAGCTATGTAT